AAAAAATCCATCTCAAAAATAAATTTATTAATAGGCCTGCATTTCTGCATATGCTGTATAGAAACCGAGTCCTCATGAAATTTGAATTTCTTAGATAGTACAGATCTTGCGGATCCCTTAACACTTATTTAAAGGTAGCTGTATAGATAATGTGCTACAATATATACTATTTTTCGGGCTCGAAATCTTCTTTTTTTTTTTTTTACAATCGTTATAGTCAAGGCCAGATTTGAAGGATTTTCAATTCCAAAACTGCAATTTTAAGTGAATTTTCAGTTAAGGCTTTATTTATTTTGATAGGGGCAGCCCTATCAAACAATTTTCCCAAAAAATTTCCCAAACAGCTCCTTCACCTGAGAGAGTAAGAATTCAGCATGCTCCCACTAACTCATTCTGAGCTCCTTATTATGCATAGTCCACCAATAAGCAAATTCATCTCTCCTCCGTCCCATTATTGACCATCTCTCTCTCACCACATTTATCTGAAATACGTCCGAAACTAAAAACTGCGTATCACATGTGTGCCTTGCGTGTTGAGTATGACTCAATGAACCCCCAATACAAAAAGGTTGTCTAAGAAGACAAAAATTTGAGCACAACTCTCCAACTCTAGCAGGCGAGATAGCGATTGAAGCTGAACGCAATATTTGTCAAATATATACAATGACTCCGTCCTTTGGTGGCAACGGGTCGGGTCACAGCTCCAAATCCTGATTAGACGCAAATTCACTGAACCCAAACTCGAATCTGGACCCTACCCAAAATTTAAAATATTTGTGCATTTAACTACATTTAAATACATTTCATATGGTGGGACCCAAAACATATTACCAGATCGGGACCTGGACGCGAATAGTGTTCGGGATTAAGATTTGAACCCATACCCAGATTTGACCCGCCGGTTCAAATTTTTGAACCCATACCTGGACCTCGATTAGGTCTACCCCTCAGGTCCCGAGTCGGGTCCGGATCCATTGCCACCCCAAGACTCCTGTGAACCTTATGTCTATTTCAACAACGGTGCCTCTTACCTCCTCATCTATGCATTTCTATATAAAGAACACATTAATTTCGTTGTCTTCTATTTGTCATCGTCCTTTATTGCACGGATAATATATAATATCTCGCCAATCGTACAAACACTTTGTCCTCTATTGCACGGATAATATATAATATCTCGCCAATCGTACAAACACGAAGAAGACATTAGAAAACACTTCGTGCTCATTAGATTAGTTCAATCACTCTCAATTATCCTTGCTTTAAATCTTGATATTATCAGATTAACTTGTTTGGTGAGGGAGGGGGAAGAGTCGTTAGAGAGGATTGTTGATTGTTTCCACAGGGTCTTAAACAGAGCTGGTCAATGTGGCACGGCCAACCAATCAAGGCATAAAACAATTAGGGCCTAAGTCACAAAATATGGCAGGGGCAAGGCCAGGTCGTTCTTAGGCCACCGCAAGGGTTGCTCGATAATGTATTTTACATTATTCTTTTTTTTTTTTTTTTTTTTTCTTTTCTTTGAAACTATTACGCACGGCACTGTACAGCCTAGCATGGCTCTAACCGGACTAGAGCCGAGCCTTGGGCATGGCTCCTTCAATGACCTAGGGGCCATAGCCTGTTGCGGGCCGTAGTTCTATTTTTATGAATGCGTGCGTTTCATTTTCATATTAATAATTTAGTTTAACTCAAAACCTTTTTTATCGTTAGTTTACTTTGTCTTCGCATTTGTTTTTCTTGGTCTAAATTTACTCATTTATTATTTTTTTATGTGATTTTTTTCCTACTTATTGAGAAATAGTTGACATTGGCATGTTTTATGTCAACATATTTAGTGGTTCTGTCAAATATCAACATCCAAAATCCTGTTATCCTGTTCTTGGATATCTTAATCCAAGTCCAACTCTTCATTTTTTTTTAAATTGTATGAGCTCATTTTAATTTAATTATATTATATATCATTAGGTTTCCATCTCTGCTGGAGTAGAAGAGAGTAAACTCACATAGATGGAATTCTTGTAGGGACCCATTTTTGTTCGGCCGCTGCTGAACTTGAGAAGTGGGATGAGGGCAAATGGCAGCTCAAAAGAGAGTATCATCTGTAGATTCCAAAAAAATATATGAAGAGAGTCAACTCTCTCTCTCTGGGTATCATCTGTAAATTCCAAAAAAATATATGAAGAAAGTCAACTCTCTCTCTCTCTCTGGGGTCAGTAGTGGATAACAACAAATGGCACTGGAAAAAAGAGTTAAACACTTTTATATAAGGTGTCCATCTTATATTAATATTGAAAAACCCACCAACTAAACATTTTGCCCTCAATACGTATGGATATGAAAGAAAATAAATTTCAAGTCTTAAAAATAATATATTTTGTAACATTATTTGAACTGCTTATTTTCAAAAAAATTATCGTATTTATAGATGTGCTTGATATGCACTGTTTTTTAAACTTTGAATTTTAATAATTAGGGGTGAACATAAATTTTTAGGCCATTCCAGCACCGGAGCTGCATCTTCAAATAAGATTCGGAGATGCACTCTGCTTGTTTCAGGTTAACACGTTATACTGACCACATCCTCAAAAAATGGAACAATATTTGACAAGAAGGCCAAGGTGCAACAAATCACTATGGCTGGCACAGACTCGCCCTAGCCCTATTCCAGCCCTGGTCACCATTAGGCCGGCCCTGACCAAGCTCTAGCCTTAGCAGGGCCAGACCAAGCTAGGCAGAGCTAGATAAAAAGAAAAATAAATTAAAAAGAATAGCAATGAAAAAGAGGGCCAAACCGGGCCTAATCAGTCCAGTTACGTAGCGTGGCCCCTACTCTTTTAAGGCTAGGACGGGTTGACCTCGAAATGTGGAAATGAAGAAAAAACAGAATTTAAGTTTAAAAAAACTGACTATCTTGTAAAAATTATTTGGACCATCTATTTTCAATATTTTCAAGTGTTATAGATATCTTCGGACAAAATTTAGACGTACATCCTACTTCTACATATAAGGAGGGAAACTTATTCAAACCTCACCCTTTTTTCCAATATTGTAGAGTCTATTTTTCCTTTTTGTCTTTTTTGAGTGCGTTATGATTAAGTGCGACAGGGTTCTAATAGAAGAAAAAAACATAACAAAACATCTATTTAACTCACCGAAGCAATTATAATGAGCCTGCCGGCACCTGAGGATCCTCCAATAATGGCAACCACTAAACTTGGGGTAATGGCAATACACCTTGTCATCAGATTTCTCATCCATTTCTTCATTCGAAGTTCCAAGAACCCCTACAACAATAATAAGTCTGATATGTAATATATTTTTCAAAAAAATAATATATATCTTGCAAAAAACATGTAACCTGCATCTCAATTCTTCATTTTAGTGTAAATACCTGCATGATATACTGACCAGCGTAGGTTCCTGTAATCGTAGAGCTCTGCCCTGAGGCTAATAAAGCTATTGCATACACTGTGGAACTGGAACTACCTAGAACATTCTGTAAGATATGGGGAAAAAATATCACAATTAGAGTTTTGAAAATCAGAAGCGACCGAGTAGGAATGGGTTTGAATTTCGAGGTGACTACATCCAAGTTAGATCATTCTTGGAACATAACAGAAAAAATTTCAAAAAACTGTGGGAATCTGGGGACTTCAGGTTTCTCAAATTGGAATCACACCCCACCAGTATGAGTAAGCACAATGATGTTTTAAACTTTGGTTAGTACTATATTATGGCAACACATAAACATAGGGTGAGAAATTCTCTTTTATACCAAAACATTTTGGGTGAATGATACCTTGAGCAAGAAGGATGCACTGCTCAGATCAAGGTTGTCACATCTAGATTTGTCCTCAAGGGAGATGTTAGACATTGAGCACACGGTACCAGAAACCGACACCACCGCAACATTGATCAGAAAAGCTACGAAAAGTGCAAACCCACTCTCAATCAAGAAGTATCTGCATGCACTCTGCAACACCCCATTCACAAATCTAATTCAAGTTGAAGCATAAATCAATCTAAAGGAGAGAAGAGAGAGAGAGAATCCATTGAACTCAAAACCCAGATGGAAAAAAGACTAAAAGGGCTATGAAAATAATAACGATAAGTGAGACAAAAACAAGTAACAAATCAAAGAGAAAAATAGAAAGTCAAGTGGATTGGGCTTGGGCTTGAATGATTAGCAATTGACATTAGCAATACTACTTCTCAAGTTCGATTCCTATCACTAAACTAAAAAAAACAAGAAAAAGAAAGAGAGAGAGAGAGATGCTTATACTAACATTTATCCCATGAACGGACTGGGGGACCTTCCTTGATAAGACAAGCGCCGAGTGCAGAAACAAATTATGCCTGTGAAATATTTCAAATTAAAAAAAATATAAAATCTTAGTTTAAATATAAAACAATTAAAACAGATGCACAAAATTGCCTCCATCATTTTTTAGTATTTGTTTATATTTCATTTTAAATTTTTAAAATTTAAGCTAAACAATTAAAACAGATGCGCAAAATTTTAGCTTAAATTAATTAATAAAAAAATTAAAATTCAAATAGTAACTACTACTCATTTTAGGTGACAGTTTATTGTTAGCTTTTTTTCTATCTATGTAATAAACAGAGCGTGAGAGAGGATTACGGCATAACAAGAGCCCCAATGAGCGCGATGGCAGCACCGGTCGCACCACTACCACTAAGCTTAGGAATGAACATTCCCTTCAATACTTCTGATGCCTTGGGCTGTGCATACGCCATCTCCCCAAAGTAGCAAGCAGCCATTAAAAAAACCAAAGATGCTATCAAAAGCTCCAGCTTTCGAACCTGTTGTACAAATTTTACCCCAATAAAACCATCACAAAATGAATGGCAAACTTTTAGTTTTTTCTCATTTTCTTCTGCCTTTCAAGAAGTATATTTGTAACACTCAAAAGCACTTGGTATAGGTGGTTATGAGGCTGATCACTGCTTAATTAACCTCTTAGTGGGTGATATGCAGGCATGACTTGGTTGGTCCCACTATTGTTGTGTAATCGTTATCCAAGAATTAGATGGACAGTGATAAACCTCATACCCAGATTTGTCATTTGGTCATGGGGATTATGGCATTCTCAGCCGTATTATAATTTAAGACTATATATTAATTAAGGCGAAACAAACCCTTTCTAAAACTCTATCTCATGTGCCGATTTATGACTTCAACCAAATCGCATATCACTCTAGACGTGTTTATGCTTTATATATACGGGTGACAACTTTTAATGGACACAATGTCACAACTTAGCTATAGAGCATGCGATCTTGATCTAATTGTTCCAATGTATTTTTTTATTTTTTATTTTTATTTTATAAATCATTGAAATATGGGGTGTGCACACACCTAACAAGGGTGCACATGATAAAAATAGTCATAAAATACTGTTGATAAGGAAACATGACCAAACTTCCCTAGAACTTGTAGAGGCTTTTTGGTTCTTTAGAATTTGTAGGGGCTTTATTTATTTTTATAAAAAATGTTTTGTTTTTCATTTTTGAAAGGTGTGTCCCAATAAGGTGAGATCATGTCCCAAATTTAATTCCAAAATTTTGTTAAAAAAAATAAATAAATAAAAAATAATAATCAAACAGTACACTAAGGTTGGGACAAGTATTCATACATGCTTTACATGTTTACAACCATTAATGCATATCTGATGAATTTCTAAGAAATAAGAGCAAGCTTTCTATCCTTCCCCTACAGCATAAAATTGATATGCTTCTCCTTATTCAACCGTTCATTATGAATGGAGGGCTAAGATTGCCTCAATCACAATGTCACGTCTCTACACTATTTTATTTTTATTTTATTTTTTTCTATAAACTATTTTGACACCAAATTTTGGATGTCCAATCCTCCAGTAAACTTGCACTAGTGAAAAATATTAAAAAAATATATTTTCAATAAAATAAAATAACCAAAATATCCTTGAAAGTTTCAAGGGGTATTTTCATCATTATATTTTATAGAAAATTCATTTTTAATATTTTTATAAGTGGGCCCTGATGAGAAGATGGCACGTACCAAATTTCATAATCATGCAATTTTTATAAAAAAAACTAAAAATAAAATACTTTGAGACGTCGGATCTAAAATCAAACGGTAAGTGACTCTCTTGATCAAAATTAGACGGCTGGATGGTAGGAAAAACATAGATCTTCTATGTTGTAGGGAAAATATAGAAACCTTTTCCAAGAAATAATAGAAACAATAATAGAGCTTCAAAGACAAAATTGAAAATAGTCTATTTTTATAGTTCAGAGTCCCTTATATCTTGAAATTCATGATCGTGAAGATGAAATTTCTCAACCTATGAACTCTTAACTCCAAAATCCATCATTAAATGGATTTTTTAATTTAACCATGGATTTTTTAATTTAACCAGGTGCATTAGCTGTCGCACCAAAACCCATCCTAAATTATGTGACCCTTCCCCAAATGGAAGGAGGATTCATCGCAACCGTTCAATATCAATTGTGATGGTTGTGGTTACATGTAGCATGTTGTATGCGTGGAATAGTTCAAAAGGATGTATATCAACTTTCAACGCATCACCATCAAACCATCAAATTAGAAGTTAGACGCTAAGACTCACTACAACATGTTATGCCGAATTAGTCACCATCACCATCTAGCCATTAATGGGACATCTAAATGAATTAACTTTTCTAAAGTCTATACAATTAGAACATGAGACCTACTATTATGTGGGTAGGATTTCAAAAAATCACTATTAAATTTGACATAAATCTCTAAAAAAGTCAAATTTTATACGCATGTCATAACTTTTGTAGAGATCTAAACGAAATTTAATAATTATCCTTTTGAGATCCCACACACATAGGTGTGGGAGGGTACGATAGGATCTAAATATTCTCTTTTCTCTTAATTTAATCGAATATCTCTCTCTTTGCCTGTACTTACCCCATATCTTTGCAGGCCGAGTAGGAGGAGGGTACTGAGACCAGTAATGAGAACTCCAACCCATAATGGAATATGAAAAAGGATATTGAGAGCAAAAGCCGTGCCAATAACTGGTTAGAGAGAGAAAAGTCAAGCAAACAATAACCGGTTAGAGAGAGAAAAGACAAGTAAACAATAACCAGTTAGAGAGAGAGAGGCAAATAAATTGTAGTGTAGAAAAGGTGGAAATAGTATGTATAATAAGAAATAAGAAATATTAATGAAGATGTCCTTTTGTTGTTGTTGGAATTTACCTTCGGGGATATCAGCTGCAATCACAGCCACTTCGGCTAGTATCCAAAGGCAGTAATTCACAAATTTTGGGTACTCTTGCTTGCAGTGCTCTGCCAAATGCTTTCCTGCACAGAGATTCGGAAATCACTTATATTCACTCTCTGTCTCTCTCTAGAAATCACATAAATTAACCCTCTCTCTCTCGTTTGGTTGTGCATCTTCGCTTATGAATTTTTTTTGTTATTTTTTTCTCTTGGGTTATTTCACGTGTGTATAGGGTATTCGTTCTTTGATATTTTTGGGATAAAGGATGAAAAACTATGATAGCACCTTTTTTTTTTTTTTTTCCACAGATTCCTTGGCTGTGTTCAAAAAATCAAAAATGCCGGTTTTCCAAGCGCAAGGTTGGAGTAAGTGATAAATCGGCCGTTTCAACCGGCCTAACCACCAGGTCCCAGCCCATCAAAAAATATTAGAAGCATAAAAAAATAAAAAAAATCTAAAACATATAAAAAATATATTTAAAATATGACTCTTAAACAAAACATATCTTAAATATGATTACAAGTAGAAAAAAACAGTCGGATTTGTATTTATGAGTATTTTAATATTTTTTAAAAAATAAAAAATTGTAAAAAGAAGTATTTTTGACTAAAGCACTCTAATATGTCTCAAATGATTAAAAAATTCAAATGTATATTACAAACAAACTTTTTATTTTTAAAAAATTTTATATTTTTTTAAAATATCCAACCGGACCCACCAAAACCCGGATTCCAGATTGAACTGCCTGTTTTGAGTTGGACTGGCTGATTTTGATAACACTGTGCCTTGGTTTCATCTGTCATATTTGTAGTTTTTTTCTCTCGTCTTCTCCTCTTTCCACCATTTTGGGTTTGTCATAACTTGACATTTCTTTTTATTTTTTTCCTCTTTTGAAATTTTCTTCCCCTAATCATCTTTCAGCTCTCTTTTTCTTTCAAGGCTTTCTTCATTTTTGGAACGTCATTTTCCACTCTTTCTGCTCTCTCTCTCTCTACCTGTAGTGACTCCCAGGTTTGCTGCAAATGACTGAATTATGAGAGCAAAGATGAGACCAATAAGCACCACCCATAGCAGCTGTTACACGCACCATCATACATTATTTTTCAGCATCAAAACCCAAAGAAAAAACAAACAAACCCCAATCAACACGAAATGAAATAGAATCTTATCTCTCATCCTACCTCGTACTGGTAACTTGCTCCTGCTTGAAGATCCGTCTCCACTGTAACAACAAATTGATTTAGTCCCACATAGAGAGAGAAAGTAATCTAACCACAAAATCAAGAAAATTATGATTTAGAGAGAGAGAGAGCAAAGCAAGAGGAAGAGCAATTACAGTTGCCGGGATCAAGATAGGCCAGTGAGACAAGAAAACCAGGCCCAATGTATGCCAAAAACTTTCTCCATCCTGGTTCCTAGAGAGAGAGAGGTGCCAAATAATAGAACAGAAGTTAGAGAGAAAAAGGCGAAATAGGGTTTCAGAGGAGAGAGGAAGTTGAATGCATACCTTTTGCTCTGGTGCGAGGCGGTGCCTATCAGGGGAGCTGGGTTCCTTTATTTCAAGAGAGACTATGCGATTACTTCCCCTCAATGAAGGCTCCTTGCACACAGCAGCACCACTTCCATTCACACCTGCCATCTCTTTCTCTCTCTAAACTGCACTCTCTCTCTCTCTCTCTCTGAGCTTTACGATGTGCTTCCTTTTTGGGATACTTATATAGGCGCCAAGAATGGACAAATATCATGTAAACAAACGCGTATAAAAGTGTATTTACAGGATTATTATATTTCAGGAGGGAGAGCAAGTAAACGGGATTAAGGGTCTCAGGTCCATGCCCTTTTATTTTCTCTTTTTTTATCTCGACCTCTCTCTCTCTCTCTCTCTAGAATCCCCAGGCATAGCCAGTATCTAGATAGACACGGCAAAGCAACGGGATGCATAGCCGGTAAGCAACGGGATAAGTTCACTTGGCAGGTGATATTTTCTTGGAAAAATATATGATAAAAATACTGACAAAATTACGTAAATGTCCCTTTTGGTTTATGTTATAATCAAAATACCTATTATTTTTCAATTCTCTCTACCTCTTTGATGTCATAGTTATCCCAAAAAATCAAAGGGAACAACTAGTTTGACCCCTTAAATTTAGAAAAAATCTTACTAATTATAAGATTAGAAGATTAGAAGATATCTTATAGCCGATTCTCTCTCTACCTCTTTGACATTATGGTTATCGGATACATAGAAATATATTGTCTATGAAATATATTACGGGTGTAATACATTATTGTGTAATACATTACCTGCAAATGGATTGTGATTATTTGGGTAGTGTTTAGATGCAACTTGGGAAATAAATTGTTATTTTTATGGCTATGTCCAGAAGAAATGCATTACCATCCAAATATGAAAAGTATGGCTATGTTAATATGGATATGTTTGGCTAACTTGATTAGACTTTAATTTGAACATAATAAGTCATTAGAATAATATGATTGGAATAACATAATATTATTATGATAAGCCTTTTTTTATTTATTTTTTATAGAAGTCTTTCAAATGTCTCTCTATATATAATTTCAAATAAGCAATAAATTTATGATACCAAAATCAATATTTTTATGATACAAATTAAAAAATAGAAAGAAGTTTGATTAGTAAACTAAAAGGTTTGGTAATTACAGTAGAAAATTTTGAAGCATTAGAGGAGACTAAAGATGTATCTTATTTCAATTGATTTTTTACTAATCGCTTATAAGGATTATGTTGTGTGAATTTTTTTATTATGAGTGTGTTGTGTAATTTATCATCGATTACCAATTATTATTTTTATTATTTTTGTTTTTATATTAGAGCTGATGGCGGGCTACAACCCAAATTAGAGATAGATGTACATAGAAAGTTTTTTATTATGATTGCAGCAGAAAATTGTCACTCATCAAGTTCTATCACTGTTTAAATCAAATTACATTTCTCCCTACTTTCACTTACCAATTATTAAAAAATTTTGTTTTTGTATGAGAATGAGATGAGAACTACAACCCAAATTGGGGATACAGGGATGTAGAACTACAACCCAAATTGGGTATAGAGGGATGTAAAAACTTTTTTATTATGATTGCACTAGAAAATTGTCCTCCTACCACTGCTCAAATCAATTTAGATTCCCCTTTTCATATTCTTTACTTTCACTTTTCACTTACTCCATATTTTTCCTATTACAGTGTACCCAACAACTTAAATGTCATATTTACTTATAATCTATTGTCCTACCCAAACTACCCCTAAGGGATTATCAGATTAGAAGATTAGGAGAAATCTTGTGACGTATTCTCTCTCTACCTCAGCATTTTCTCTCTCTTGTGGCGTATTCTCTCTACCTCTATGGAGTGATAGTTATATGATAAAATAAGGGTAACAACTAGTTTGAGCCCCTATATCGAAGGAGAATGGAATGACCCAGTCCATGATGCCCTACCTTCAAGAAGAGGTCTCTCGTCAATTCAAGCTCTTCGAACCATGGGAATATCCGGATCAGGCCAAATTCGAGTCATGGGAATAAGGGGAGAGAGAGTTTTTCAAAAAAAAAACTATTTTTACCCATGTAATGGAGAGAAAGAGGTAGAGAAAAAATAAACAGACCCATAAGGAGAGAAAAAAATTTAGGTTTTAAAAAATCAAATTTGGCATGATTTCAGTTTTTGAAGAATCGAAAATAGGTAGTTTCGTCTTTTTTTAAAATTATTCTGAAATCCAAAATGGACGTATCAATAATAACGGAAAGTATTCAGTATTTTAGTAATAACAAAAACTAAAATAGATATTTATGTAATTTTTCCTAAAAATATTTATATTTGGTGTATGGTAGTCAGAATTAATTTTGAATATTAGATGTGACATTGGGTGTGCATTTATTTCATAGATCAAGTTCAAAGTTTTTTCAAATTTTATGACATACGTAAGCTATCAAAATTCACATAGGCTAGTTGTAAGTAATTGAGAGCTCCTTGTGTCAAAGCTAAGTGATCTCAGTGCATACAATCTCGTTTGCTATTAGCATTGTCAAAATAATGTGCGTCTTGTCAAAATCAGCTCGCCTGCTAGTTGAATTAATTTAATTAGATTTTAAAAATAGTAAATATATATAAATAAATATTTAAAATATATAATATATTAGAAAATTACTCATCTTACTTTATAAGTTAATCAACTATGTATTCTTGACCAAACCAACCATAACACCGATCACCGATACAAAATGAAACTACATATTCGTCTCATCGTGATGCCATACACCCTTCTCTCTAGACCGAGAGACTTTTTATCGTTCTCTCTCTCTCTCAGAATATCTAATGGTGTATATTTAATGATTAAGGCCGATGTAAACATCCGTCATATGGCGAAGAAGGAAAACGACGTCCACCGCAACCAAAATAACACACTTCTCTCCCTAAAACTAACTAAAGGACCAAAAGTGTCCTGTCTTCGCCCAGGTAGTCAAACCAGCCATTTGGTCTTTCTTTTTGAAAGAAAATTTTCGTACCCTTTCCAAAGTTATTCCCATATCCCAAGTAAGCCCAAAACATGCACATTCCCAGTTTTGATCTCCCATCTCAAAAATTTATTGAAAGAGGTTGCTTCGATATCGAAAAACTAACAAATTGATCATCCCGACCTCAATAAATGTGAAACTAATAGATTTCAAGTCTAAAAAATAATGTATCTTGTAAGATATTATATGGGTTGTCAATTTTTAATATTTTCAAGTGTTTTTAGATTTACGCTATCTATACTATTTCTTAAACTTTAAATTTTATATTACAAATGAAAATAAAATTGTCAAGCTGTCACAAAAAAAAAATTTATTTAAAGATCATGTTTCGACACTATTTCGAGTTACACCTTTGTTTGTTTAGGGTCTCAACCCTATAAAAACCACACATGCATGTAATGTGTATACGTGATTGCTTGCCCTTTTCTCTGGGTTCCAACTTTCATAAAACCATTTTTGCCTGCCGCTCTCTCCCTTCATTTCTCTCTCGTGAGTAAAAAGATGCTTGGTTAGAAGATACACTAGCAATTTGAATAATAGTAGGTTAATCTTTGAGAAAATATGGCATACGATTGTTTATGTTTGATACAACAAGACCTCAACCACCTTTCGCCGTTAAATGTGAAATAAGAGCAACGAAAGTTACAGTAGTGACTAAGGTCAAAACTCTTAACAAAATAAAAATATACAAACAGACCAATCATTTTTGGTATAAGAAAGTCACATTTATTCTTATCTATCAAATTTAAATTTGAGTGCCAGTAAAAATATATTGACTATACTCAAAATTCAAAAAAAAACTTTTCAAACTTTATAACATACTTCAATATATCTAATTTAATATCTAATAGTTAAAAATAATGGTGACCTCCTTTTAATAAAGATAAATAATCACATAATATACAATCTGGCCAAAAAAAAAAAAAAACTCTCAAGAATTTCACATGTGATGAATAGAGACAATTACAATCCCAAAAACTCCATTATTATCAATGTGTATGTTTTAAGAGAGAATCCGTGAGACAGGACTAATTTATCGTTTAGGAAAATGGTATGGGCAATTACAGCCATCAATTGAGTCGACACGTCCAAGCACGCCACTTGATCAAGCACGGCGAGCTACAGGAGTTTCGCGAGTTTAGAGAATATCGTTATTAAAAGGGTGCGGTTAGTATAAAGCTTAGGTTCTAAACGATCAAATTAATCCCATCTTCAAATAGTATTCAGAAATGTGGTTTCAATACTATAAATTTTTGTAATATCTTTAAAATATATTTTTATTTTTATTTAAAAAGTTTAAAGCTTCAAAAATAGTACAGATAGATGCCGATCTATAAAAATTTTGAAAATTGACGGTCCAAAAATATGTCAACAAAAACACTATTTTCAAAATTTGTAATTTTTTTTTTTTTCATGTCCGTGCATCTTGATGTCGAGATGATCAATTTAAGGATAATTAGGCATCAAAACGACTTTTTTTAGTGAACCTTTTAGGTCGCTCTAATTTGATTGTTTAGAGCCTCGGCTCTATATAAAGTTTTTCTTAAAAAAAGGGACAGTATGACCAAAATTCAAAAGTAGCACGTCATCATCGTGGCTCCATTTTAAGCGGGGTGCTGAGAGCGAGACGCAAAGTTCCACGTGGCAAAAGGGCAAAGCTCCAAAGATGCAGAGGCACGCGTCGACATCTTTTTCCAGCCCTTTTTTTTTTCTTTATTCCTCTTGATTTTTAAACTACGGCCTTGTCCACTTACCAAATTTAAATCCTAATTTTTTTTCTTGGTTTTTATAATAACTGATTTTTTTGTGTTTGGTTATATGAGAATGGAGGAATCGGGCTTGAGTAGAGATAGTAGAGGTATATATATATATATATAAAATGAGTATAGAAGATGGGATGCATCAATCTCTCTAACCCGTAGTCATCATCATCGTCAAAACTTTTTTTCAAGTACACCTTTAGCTAAAAGAGCGTGTTATCAAGATTTCTTTCGTTTGGAAATTCTTATGATCTATTGTTGGTTAGTTTTGAAAAGATTAACTATTTGAATTTTCAAAACTTGGATTTGATAATAAGAATTTGGAGAACCTCAAGTGAATCTTTAGAAATTGCTTTCTCAA